AGAGGAGGGAGCTGAATCCCGCTGCATCCAGGAGCGTCTCGAGGGGCACTGGGTGCATTGATGAACTCCCTGTGAGGAGCCCATGGAGCAGGAGGAAATGAAGCAGCTTCCTGCTCCTGTGCAGCTGCCCAGTCGTCTTATGAGATGACAGCAGAGGCTTCTGCAGTGGGACATTTACCTCTCACAGGTGATCATCCMCTRATGAGACTGCAAGGCTGAMCTCCAGGCTCTCAGAATCTCCTTCCATGGCTTACAAAGGCACCATTGGTGATCATTTTAGATTACTTCAGTGGAGATTTGCTGGAGATGACCCCATGGCCTTGCAGGACCTGTTTCCCCGGATGCCTTCATGCAGTGCTGTGGGGAGAAGCTCTGAGTGGAAAGGCAAGTTCCAGCAGGGCAGATTCATTCTCTGCTTGGGAGATTTCTGCGTGGTTTAGGGTTACCCATTATGGTTAGCGTTAGGATGAGGGGCTAGGGTAAGGGTTATGCATAGGGATACATTGTGGTTTAGGGTTAAGATTAGGGTTAGCTTGTGGTTAGGGTTTGGTGTTAGGGTTACAGGTTAGAGTTAGGGTTAGGCTAGCATTAKGGTTAGGGGTTAGGGCTAGTGTTGGGTTAGGGTTTGGGGGTGGGGTATGCACTAAGGCTAAGGTTAGGATTAGTTTTAATTTAGGGTAAAGCTTTGAAGTTTAGACTTAGATTAAGTTTAGGAATAGGGGTGAGATTAGGTTTAGGGGTAAGTAGCGGGTACACTTGGGTTAGGTTTAGGTTTACAGTTGTGATTAAACTTATGGTTAGGGGGTTAAGTTTAGGGCCAAGGTTATGGTTTGCATTAGGGTTTATGGTTGCAGTTTGGTTTTAGTTAGGATTAGGGTAAATTTTATTTTAGGATTAGAGATATCGGGTTAGGTTCAGGGTTTGGATTAGGATTAGGATTATGATTAGGGTTAGGGTTGCGTTTAGAGTCTGGGTTAGGGTTTGGTTAGAGTTGGGGTTAGCGTTGGGGTTTAGGTCAGGGCTAAATTTGAGTTAGAGRTTCAGGTACTGGATAGGGCTTGAGTTATGGTTGCAGTCAGAGGTAGTGTTTGGTGTTAGGGTTATGGTTTGTGTTAAGCTTACAGTTAGGGTTAGGGGTCAATCCTAGGATTTAGGATTAGGGTTAGCATTAGGGTTAGGATGAGGGGTGGGGATATCCTTCGGGTATTCATTAGTGTTAGGGTTAGGTGTTATTACTAGSGGTTAGGCTGGAGTTATGTTAGGCWGAGGGTTAGAGCTAGAGTTAGGATTAGGTTTGGAGGGAAGGAGTAGGGGATATGGTTTGTGYTGTGGGCCAGCATTAGGCTTTGGGATTAGGATTAGGGTTAAGGATAGGGTTAGCATTAGGGTTATGGTTTGGAATAGGGTTAGGTTAGAATAAGGGTTAGCATTAAGGTTATGGATTAGGGTTATGGTTATGGACTAGAGAAAGGTGTTACGATTAGGGTTAAGGATAGTCTAGGGTAAGGGGTCAGTTTTAGGTTACGGTTAGGCTGAGAAGTTTAGGGTTAGATTAGAGTTAGGGCTGGGGTTATGAGATTGGTTAATTCTAGGGTTAGACTGCGTTAGGGTTACAGTTTGAGTAATGATTAGAATTTGGTTAGGTTTTGGTGTACAGTAGGTTTAAAGTTTTGAGTCAGGATTAGAGATTAGTGTTATGTTAAGAGTTAGAGTTAGAAATAGATGAGAGTTTGGTTAGGATTAGGGTAAGGGTTGGGATTAGGAGGTAGCGTTATTTTTAGGATCTAGAGTAAGGGGTTATGGTGAGGGTTAAGGATAGTCTAGATTTAGGATTAGTTTTAGGTTAGGATTAGGCTGAGAAAATTAAGTTTAGATTAACATTAGGGCTGGGGTTATGGGCCAGGTTAGTTGTAGGGTTACACTGCATTAGAGTTACAGTTTGAATATTGATTAGAATTTGATTAGATTTTGGTGTACAGTAGGTTTAAAGTTTTGATTTAGGGTAAGGAATTAGAGTTATGTTAAGGGATAGAGTTAGGCTTAGATCAGTGTTCAGTTAGGATTAGGGTTAGGGTTGCGTTAGGGGTTAGAGTTAGGAGTTAGGATTAATGGTTAGGGTTAGCATTACGGATAAACCAGTTTTAGAGTTAGGGTTAGGATTAGGGATTAGGGTTAGTGTCTAGATCAGGATCAGGGTTACGTTAGAGTTAGGACTAAATTTAGGTCAGCGTTAAGGGTTAGGGTTTTAGAGAGTGCTAGGCTTATTGTTACGGTTAGATTTAGGTTTCCTGTTAACATTAAGGTTTAGGTTTGTAGTTAGGGGAAGGTTAGGGTAAATTTTCGGTTAGTGTTAAAGATCTAGGGTTAGGTTAGGATTAGGATTTGCATTAATCTTAGGGTTAGGATTTGTTTGTGGTTATGATTAGGTTTAGGGTTTGGTTAAGGATCGTGTTAGGTTAGAGTTAGAGGCTAGGGTTAGTGTTGTGGTTACATTTAGCATTAGGATTAGGGTTAGTTTGAGGCTAGAGTGAGACTTAGCATTCAGGTTAGATTTAGTGTTAGAGTTACAGTTAGCTTTAGGGATAGGGATAGGTTAGAGCTAGTCTTAGGGTTAGTGTTAGGGGTTAAGGGATTAGGGTTAGGTTAGGGCCACACTTAAGGTTAGGTTTAGGGTGAAAGTCACTGTTAGAGTGATGGGTTAGGTTTAGAGTTAGGTTAGGGTTAGTTTTAGTTTAATGTCAGGCCTAGAAGTTCATGGTTAATTTAGGATGTTGGGTTAGGGACAGGGGTAAGGTGATGGTTAGGGATAAGTTCAGGTTTACAGTTAGAGTATGTGTTAGGCTCACGTGACATGTATGTTCACAGTTAAGTTTAGCTTATCTTCAACAGTTAGTTGAAGGTTTAAGGTCAAAGCTAGGGTTAGGGTTGTGGTTAGCATTACGGTTTATGGTTGCGGTTTGAATTTAGTTAGGGTAATTAGCATTTGGATTGCATTCCAGGTTAGTGATAGGGTTAGGTTACGGTTAGGTTTAGGATTATATTTTGGGGCAGGGTTAGGCTTAGAGGTCAGAGATAGAAGTTGCAGGTAGAGTTAGGATTAGAGATAATTTTATGGTTGGGCATAGGGTCATCTTTAGGGGTTTGGGCTAGATTTAAGAGCTAAGGTTAGGGTTATTGTTTAGGATGGTTATAGGGTTAATTTTAGTTTTGAGTTAGTTTTAGAAGTTTAGGTTTAGATTACCATTACAGTTAGGGCTTGGGGATACAGTTATAGGTAGAGTTTGGCTTAGGCTTAATGTTAGGCTTAGGGTCAGGATCAGAGTCAGGGTTAGGTTAGTGTTAGGGGTTACGGTTATGGGGAAGACAGTTATGAGAAGGGTTATGTATAGGGGCTAGAATTAGGGTTTTGTTAGGGTTGGGTTGAGGGTTAGGGTTCTGGTTGGGGTAAGGTTACGATTCAGGTCAGGGTTGCAGTTAGGGTAAATTTTATGTTAGGGTTAGGGGTTTAGGGTTACCTCTCCTTAGGTTAGGGGTTAGAGGTTTAGGGTTACTTACGCTGGGCTAAGGTCACTGCTTGCAAGGTTGAAGAGGCCTCCCATATATTCAAGGTGAAGTAGAATTATAACATGCAGAACGCTATTCTATTTTACTTTGCTTCTTATTTTCCTCTATTTTATTTTGCTTTATTTTTCTTTTCCTTATCTATGAAATTCTTGTTTAGTAATTGATCAGTGCTTTCCTTTGAAAGATTTGATCACACCAGTTAATATTGGATGTTTTTGTTGAAATGGTCTTGCACTGGTGAATAAAGCAACTAGGTAAAGCCCCTCTATCCTGCCAGAGACTTTGCACCCTTTCTCCAAGGAGAACATGATTGCACAGAAAGTTACTCTAAAGGCCTCCAATCTCTTCCAATCCTGTCTATGCCCTAAAAGCAGGTGGAGTCCTGAGGTCCTCAGTCTCCCTCCTCCTCATTAAGGAGCTGCCTTTCCCTATGGGTGCAGAGCTCCGCAGGTGTCAGTCCCTCCATGGTCCCCCTCCGCAAACCCTGCTGCCCCCACCGCTGCTGCTAACATCACCATCACCTGCCCACCCGCTTCCCATCCTGGCCAATCAGGGGCTGCGGCAGCAGTGACCTCACCAGCTGATGCCCATGCGTCAGCACAGAGCAGCCCGGCAGAGAGAAGGGAGGTCCCTGCACTGTCCCCGCAACGGCCTCCTTGTCCCTGCTGCTGCTGGGACACGTGTGGCCTCCCAGGCAGCGCCTGCTGCTGCCCCAGCAGCTCCTGGCACACAGGGACCTCCCCCAGTGTTTGCAGCAGACCCTGCTGCCAGCCGCGCTGCTGCTGGGACAGGAGCGGCCTCAGAGCCCGTCCCAGCCATGGGCCAGCGCTGGCCTTGCAGCTGCTCCGTCAGCAGGGACCTCCCAGGGAACTGCCCACCAGTGGCAGCAGGAATGAATGTGCAAGTGGAGGGCCTCGTCCTGCCTGTGTTCCAGGCCTGGCCCTGCCTATGCACAACCTGACCAGCACCGTGCTGGGAGAGCGCTTAGGCCCTCTACATGAATCCCAGCAGAGCAAGACAGTTTGGAAGGATGGAGAGCAGCCCTGGAAAGGGAATGTCCTGCTGCTGTGGTTGCACATGGCTCCAGGAAACTTGAAGCTCCCATGTGATGGTTGTTGTGACTAAACACCTGCTGGGGTAGTGCCAAAGGGCCTCGTTGGACACAGGGCTTCTGAGCCACTTGAGGCAAGCAGGCTGTGAGGGTTCCCCCATCCCTGATGATGCACAAGGAAGCCTGGCTTCCTGCTTCAAAATGGTCTCTACGTCAGAATCAGTAGAGAGATATCTGAAGAGAAATTATATGAACTGGGTTTATATTTTTATTATTACTATAAAGAAAACAAAGGGAGAGGAGAGGAGAGGAGAGGAGAGGAGAGGAGAGGACATAATGTGCATGCCAAGTATATGGGAATGACGAGTGGATATGCATCGAAAAGTTATTGCTGGGGATATTGTACACACTGAAAAATTTTTCTCAGTGCCTCCTTGAGCTCCTTGTTCCTCATGCTGTAGATGAGGGGATTCACTGTTGGAGGCAACATTGAATATAGAACAGCCAGCACCAGATCCAGAGCTGGGGAGGACATGGAGGGGGGTTTCAGGTAGGCAAACACTGCAGTGCTGAGAAAAAGGGAGACCACGACCAGGTGCGGGAGACACATGGAAAAGGCTTTGTGGCGGCCCTGCTCAGAGGGGATCCTCAGCACAGCTCGGAAGATCTGCACATAGGACACCACAATGAAAAGGAAACACCCAAGACATAAACAGACACTAATTGCAAGAAGTCCAACTTCCCTGATGTAGCAGTGTGAACAGGAGAGCTTGAGGATCTGGGGGATCTCACAGAAGAACTGTCCCAGAGCATTGCCTTGGCAGAGTGGTATGGAAAATGTATTGGCAGTGTGCAGGAGACCATAGGTGAAATTAGATGCCCAGGCAGCTGCTGCCATTTTGACACAAGCTCTGCTGTCCAGGAGGGTGCCATAGTGCAGGGGTCTGCAGATGGCAACATAGGGGTCATAGGCCATGATTGTGAGAAGAGAATATTCTGCTGACGTGAAAAAGACAAACAGAAAGACCTGTGCAACACATCCCCAGTAGGAAATGGCCCTGGTGTCACACAGGGAATTGGCCATGGATTTGGGGACAGTGGTGGAGATGAAGCCAACGTCGAGGAGGGAGAGGTTGAGGCGGAAGTACATGGGGGTGTGCAGGCGGTGGTCACAGGCTATGGCTGTGATGATGAGGCCGTTGGCCAGGAGGGCAGCCAGGTGGATGGCCAGGAAGAGTGCAAAGTGCAAGAGCTGCAGCTCCCGTGTATCCGCAAATGGCATGAGAAGGAATTCGTTGAAGGAGCTGCTGTTGGACATTTGCTCTGGTTTTTGTCCACTGTTCAAAGAGAAAAAAGCACCAACAATTTAGAAAGAGCTTCTCTGAGGAAAACTCATTCTGCTCTCTACCCCGCAAATTTCCACTCTCCTTTACCTTGTTCAGCTCCCTTGTCTGACCTTGAGTTTTTGCTGGCTGAGTGTGATCTGTGTCTGTGCTTGGGCTCCAGAGCCGTCAGTCCTGCTTTTGCGGATGGTTTAAATGGAGGTGTCAAATTGCCTCATGGATTTGGTGAGAAGACCTGGGGATGGGCACCTTGAACTGAGTGAAGGGGATTTGAACCAGTGACACAGTGGGAATATTCTCTCCTTAATCCTGAGCAAGAGGCAGCTCTCATGACAGTCCCTCCCCTTGTGCTGCAGTGCGAAAGAACCAGGATGCAGGAGAGACCCAGCCCCTCTTCCACTAAAGACAGGGCTCATGACAGGCATCCCATGATCTTCAGTGCTGGGAGAGGGGACGGGGGCTTTGTTGAGAGGAAGACGTCTGCTTTGCAGGGACTCACCAAGGCTGATCCAAATCCTTCCCTCTCACACCAACTGCCTTTCTACATCCCTCCCACTCGCTGATCCTATCTCTAAGGATGGAGTTTTTCCTGCTGACAGCTGCTCCCCTCCCCCACGTCTTCTCCCTGTCACTGCCACACACACCATCCCACCCCCTGGGCACTCACTCTGCCCTACAGCAGGATCCAGCAGCAGGGCGCTGGCCAGGGACATCTCCGTGTATGCGGGTGGGAGGGACCAGGGTCACACAGACCCTGCTGAGGCCACACAAGGGGATGCTGGTGCTGTCTGCAGTCAGGGGAGGGCACAGGGCCTTGCTGAGGTTCCTCACACATCTCTCCATGGAAAGGACTAGAGKGTCAGGTTCCTGCTATCACCTGGCATTTCCTTTCCATACACCCCCAGCTCTTCACAACCACAAGGACACAGGGAATCTCCTCATCTTTAACATTAACTGCCTGCACTGTCCTCTTCAAAAGGCCCCTTCACAATATGAACCTGCCATCATGGGGGTCTCCTCACACCCAGACCTTCCCCCACAACACATTGGGATTTCCCAGGCAGGGTGGGTGCTGACCCTCGCAGGTGGCACTCACTGCCCTGGGCACACAGCACCCTGGGGTGCAGGGACACTGCTCGGCATTACAGCCCATGCAGAACTGGGGGCACTCGTTGGCTTCACACCCCTGCACCGTCCTGGGGAGAAGGCAGCCGTGATGCCCTGTCCCTCTCATGGTCTGGATGGAAATCCCTGCTCTAAAGCACCACCAGGTCCAAGCAGGAGAAGCTGGGAGAGACACCCTGAGAGACCCCATCAGCTGGGGAAGGTGCCAGGTTCAAAAGAGCCCTCCAGGAACCACAGCACTCTTGTCCTGCAGACAGACACTTACCGTGTCATGGGCTGGGAAGTTTCTTCCCGCAAGGAGCTCTCATTTGTCCTCCCATTCCCAACTGTCCTTCACTTCAGAGCGACTCATCCCAGCCTGATGCCTGCGGGCAGTGCCCTGAGTCTTGGTGCTCCTTTAAGAGGAGCTGCTCCTGGGCAGAGCTGTCTCTCTGCAGCGCCTGCCACGTTGCCAGGGGCTCCCGCAGTCCCAGGAGCCAGGCCCAGCTCAGGAGCAGGGCCCCAGCTGGAGACAGGACAGTTTCTGTGCCCTGAGCAGCCTCCAGGTGTTTCTGGGGCTCCAGGGCTGTGAGAGGGGAAGCTGTTTGGATGTCTGCAGGCTGCATGGACACAGCTGCAGGTAGGAACCAGCATAGGACAGGCTCTGCTGGACACAGACAAAGGCCCTGCTTGGGCTCACAGACACCAAAGGAGGTCTTCATCCTCTTGATATGGCTTTTGTCTTGCCACCAACACAGACACTCTGAAAGGTGTCATATCATTGTCCTGCACTGAGCACTGCACACGCCCACCCACACACTGTCCACAGGAACACCTGGAAAATGTGGAGGAAACAAGCCCCCTTCCCAGAAGCACAGTGACTGAGCCCAGACATTTGGCCTGATAAAACACATCAAGGGTTAATGTGGCATCAGAGCCACCTACACATTTCTTCTCTCTACCTGTTATCAGAGATGACAATTTTCTGCTCTAATCAGCCCCTGCGGAGTCTTTGCTCTTCACAACTATCAGTGGGACCCATTAAAACTCAACCAAATATTCGGGGTTGATTTTGACTTTGAATTTTGCACGTTTTGTTCAGTCTCTTCACAGTAACTGAGGTTCAGGGGCTCAGAACACCATGGGCCTCATTGAAATATGAAAAGCTCTCACAAACCATGGCTCTCCCAGTATTTTTCCTGAAATCCCACATGGCTAATTGGAGAGGTCTGGAGAGTATAGCCGAAAAGTGCAGACATGAATAATATACAAATATTTCTGCTTTTAAAGCATTTAATGTTATCACTGTTATTGAGCATTCAGCRTAACAGCAATAAGAAAACCAGTGTCCCAAACCTCAAGCACTCTATGGATGTTCTGCCTCCCTCCTTCCTAACCCTGCCATTTCTCTCTTCAGCCGCCTGGGACTTCCATCACTCTTGTTAGAACCTTCCCTCTTCTTCTGAAATTGGCAACTGAAGGTTACAGATCATCTGGCCCAACTCCCACCTGCTTTCCTTAGAGCACTAGCTGCAAATAAATAGAGGGTTTTTCTTAATCGCAAAGAAACAGGGAAAAAAAAGTATGAAATTATTTCATAAAGACTAATGATGCTCTTTGAGTGTAGGCTAAGCTTTAAACTCCCTGACGTTCAATCCAGCAGCTGGGTCTCTGAGTGAACACAGAGGAACAGGAGGAGTCACAATACTGTGGTCTCACGATGGCCAACTCGTGTCCCATAAAGAGGGTGTTAGAAATGATCAAATTAAGCAGGACATGTGGGAATGGGAGAGCCATACAGCTCTTGCGGGCCCTCGATCATGATGTGGGACAAGCTGCTTTTGGACATCACAGACTTGCCTGTGTCTCTCTACACAGAATCATAGAATGCTTAAGGTTGCAAGAGACCTCCAGAAGTCATCTAGTCCAACCCTCCTGCACACACGGGGTCACCTAGAGCATGTGCACAGGGCTACATGCAAGCGGGTTTTGAACATCTCCAGAGAAGGAGACTCCACAATCTCTCTGGGCAGCCTGTTCCAGGGCTCTGTCACCCTCACTGTYAAGAATTTTTTACTTAAGTTCCTGTGGAACTTTTGGTGCTTCAGTTTGTGGCCRTTTCCTGTAGTCCTACCGCTGGCCACCACTGAAAAGAGGCTGGCCCTCTCCTCCTCACTGCTTCCCTTGAGGTATTTATACACGCTGATCAGGTCCCCCCTCAGCCTTCTCTTCTCCAGGCTGAACAGGTCCAGCTCTCTCAGCCTTTGCTCATGTTCCAGGCAGATGTTCCAGGCCCCTGATCATCCTCATAGCCCTGCACTGGACTCTCTCCAGCAGCTCCACATCTCTCTTGTGCTGGGGAGCCCAAAACTGAACAGTCTCCAGATGTGGCCTCCCCAGGGCTGTGTACAGGGGGATGATCACCTCCCTTGACCTGCTGGAGACGCTCTTCTTAATGTACCCCAGGATCCCATTGGCCTTCTTGGCCACCATGTACACCATGACACCCAGGTCYCTCTCTGTTGGGCTGCCCTCCAGAAAGTCTGTCCCCAGCCTGTACGTTGTCTGGGGTTATTCCTGCACAAGTGCAGGACCYTGCACCTTCCCTTGTTGAACTTCATGAGATTTCTAATCGCCCAGTTGTCCAGTCTGTCCAAGTCTCTCTGGATGGCGGTGCAGCCCTCAGGGCTATGAGCTACTCCTCCCAGTTTCGTATCATCAGCAAGCTTGCTGAGGGAGTGCTCCATCCCTTCAGGTCGTTAATGAATAAGTTGAATAGGACCAGGCTGACAACTGACTCCTTGGGGACACAGCTAACCACAGGCCTCCAGCCAGACTTTGCACCACTGATCACCAGCCTCTGAGCTCTGTCATCGAGCCAATTCCTAATCCACCTCCCCGTCCACTCATCTATCCCACACTTCCGCAGCTTGCCCAGGAGGATGTTGTGAGGGACGGTGTCAAAAGCCTTGCTGAAGTCCAGATAGACCACATCCACTGCTCTGCCCTCATCTATTCAGCTAGTCACTCCTTCATAGAAGCCAATCAGGTTAGTCAAGCATGATTTCCCCTTGGTGAATCCATGCTGGCTGCTCCTGGGCACCTTCTTCTCCTCCACGTGTCTGGAGAGAGCAGCCACAATGAGCTGTTCCATCACTTTTCCAGGGATGGAGGTGAGGCTCACTGGCTTGTAGTTGCCTGGGTCCTCCTYCTTGCCTTTTCTGAAGACCAGTGTGACGTTGGCTTTCTTCCAGTCCTCCAGCACCTCCTCCGTTCTCCATGACCTTTCGAAGATGATGGCGAGCGGCTTGGCTATGACATCCACCAGTTCCCACAACACTCWGGGGTGCATCCCATCAGGGCCCATGGATTTGTGGGGATCGATTTTCCTTAGATGCTCTCTGACCCACTCTTCCTCTACCCAGCGCAAGCATTTCTCTCTCTGGCTCTCTACTCTTCGGCTGTTGGGCACTCTCTACTGTTGCTGGGCGTGGGGATGAAGTGCCGCTTGAAAACTAACCAGCTCCCTGGGCCCCTCTTCCTTCTAGAGCCTTAGCCAAGTGACCCTTCCAAGAAGGTCTCTGAACAGGCTAAAGATGGCCCTTGAGAAGTTCGGGGTGGCAAGGCTACGTACTGCCCTGCCTCCTCCTCGTTGGATCCTGAAATCCACCAACTTGTGATCACTGCAGCCAAGGCTGCCCCTCACCTTCACATCTCCAACAAATAAGGTGAAATGCAGCTCCTGAGGCAAGTCAGTTCCTTACAGGCTCCATATGGGAGCCTGGACAGCAGCGCTGCACTGCGTGGACCTGTCCTGAGACACCAAGTGTCAAAAGTGTGGGAGACCCAGGGTGCCAGGGCTCTACAGCTC